TAATATCTCCCTATGTGTGTATGCCTGCATGTGTGCTGGAGATGTCTTGTAGCACCGAGACTAAACCTAATGGGCCATTTTCAACACACACAGCCACATAAAGAAGCATCTGTACCAAATGTCATCCTATTGTGATTGAACACATCAATATAAACAAACAGCACTAAAAGGCTGTGGTTAGGTGGTTTACAAACATAAGTCACATACCAGGATCATCATTATTACTTTCTCCAATGCGTTCTATTTCTTCTTCCTCCAGGTTGTCGAAGCTGACGACCTTGAACTGTGACAGGAGATCATCTCCCACGGTCGTTGGTTCAACCTCCCTAGTTTCTGCACGCTGCAGGATCTCGTCAATGTCAACCTTAAAAAAATTAGAACCTTACTGCAGATTCAATTTTGTTTCAGTGAGAGCAAAAATTATCAACAATGTTACAACAATACTCTTTTCATCAACAGTACGACATCAATAATCGGCTGAGTCATTTCTGTTGTATTAATCTAGATTACCATTCATCCAGATAGACATGACTAGATTTACTTCTTGTTGTGGTGATTACTTTGAAATTTCCAGTAACAAATATCAACTACTTACTTGTGGTTCTTCGTCATCACTGTCACACTCTTTGAACAATTCCTCAGCACCAAATTTGAGAATGGCACTCAATTCCTCCTTTTTGAATGGAGTAGTATTACTGTAGAAAAAAGCATTTCTTGAGCAAGTTTTGTCACTTATGACTTAATAACTGTTCTTTTCTTAGTTTTGAGCTTAGAATCAGTACCTGATTTCTTAGAGTTCAAAATAAAGACAATGCTATTTCTGATAAGCCTTCCTACGGAATTTATTGAAATTGGTTTTGCAGTTTTGGATTGGATGTTGAAAATATTAATTGTTTTTAGATAAACAACACACGACGTATGAAAGGTAACTGCTTCAAGCTCTTTACAATGTCTTCATCTACATTGCCTTTAAAAATGATGCAGTTGCTGTATAAAACCTGCACACAACTGTTACTCAGCATCTTCAGAGTAGACTTTAGCTGGTCACGATCGTGACTGCTAACACTTCCTCTGTGGACCCTTACCTTGAAGGAACATGGCCGCGATCAAGCACCGTCCGACCTGTTGTGTCCATTCGCTGAATGACCAGATGGTCGAGCACCATTTTGCGCTTGGCTCTCTCTACGATGTCTTCCTCTACACTGCCTTTGGTGACCAGTCTGTACACGCTCACCTGTCAACATAACATCTAAATGTAATACAGATATACAAGAGGCTCGGAGCGTCTGCATCACTCTCCCGGATACTAAACTCATTGTAACAAATATAAAACTGTCATTTTCCCCAATTTTGACTGTCTCTCAGCTATACAACTTCTGATTGCCTTGTCCCTGGGATGCCCTTTTGTAAACATGGTATATCACACTTGGGGGCAGTTTACACTATAACGCAGAGCTAAATTGTCCACTAGTTCTTATCTGCATACAATACAACAAGACATTATTGTATCCATTAGTAAAGAGAGGACATACAATCAAAGGCCTCAAAAACAGCCATATAGACATCTATAAGCAGCCCCAAAAACAGCCCTATAAACATCTATAAACAGCCCCAAAATCAGACCTATAGACATCTATAAACAGCCCTATAGACATCTATAAACAGGCCCAAAACAGCCATA